ACAGGCTTACAGGCCTTGCAGTTTTAAATAGCCTTGCAGGCTTCTGTACCAATTAAGTCCCATACTCTGTCACCCCCCTATTACCATAGCTTGACCGATTTTGCCGAGCAGGTGGTTCCCAGTTCGTGATCTCTGTCATTCATTTGAGGCTTGTTTGCTTCGGGAAGCCAATGGATCGGTATGCACCCACTCGTGCTTGAATATATATAGTATGAAAAGTGCTGCAGGCAAAATTCCGCAATTTGCAAAAAGCTGGTAATCACTCACAAACCGACATTAAGTAGGGTTGCAATGCAGATTACCCTGCAGCCTAATCGAAAGTCCTTTCAGTCACATCAGGATGCCGGTTTTTTTTAACAAGCTTCTTCCTGACCCTTTACGGAAAGTAAATTCTGTAAAAAATGGTACCTTAAGAAGTATGCATTTTTATCATTGATTTTGACTGCATTTTATATTTAAATATATTTTATAGAAAACGTGCACAAAAATATTCTATCTCGTAGTCATTTGGTAGCAAAGTACACCTTAAAATTTTATACTTAAAGAAAGCCTATATCCTAGCCGCCTCGCGGTGGAGGCTCGAGTGAGAGGTCTAATGGCAACAAGGACGGACGAGTGAGTCCTCTAACAGATCGATGTACGCATATCTGCTACTGTATATCCCCGGTCTAACACCGGCAAGACTGCGGGCTCGTAGTTCAATGGTTAGGATGTTTGCCTCTGACCGGAGAGACACGAGTTTGAAACTCGAGTATGGCAGCAATTTCAGCGGCAACACTGGAGTTGGATATCACTAGCTGACGACGGCTATTCAGCCAGAATTGGCCATTCTAGTACTATTCTAGTGTCAATCTTTGAGATTGGGTATGACTGGTTGACGACGGCATACAAGCCAGAAATGGCCATTCCGGTCTCCCTTGTATTTGTCGGATCCATTCCTTATATATATTCACTAAGAAATGTGCGAACACCGATCCAGTTGGCTTCCCGAAGTAAACAAACTTCGTTTAGTTGGTAGGTGTCTCAAACAGGTGACCACCTGCCAGGCCGATGCCGGCCAAATCATAATAACAGATTTATTACAGTCTTTGGGGGTAACTTGATACAGAACTGTTTCGGGTCTTTTTGCCTTCATTCAGCCAAGCATAACCCTGACCACCAGCTGGGCCGGACAAAACAAACATGTGCACTCACAGATAACCTAGAAAAAAGAAGACACGGGCAGGCGCTGGTAGTTACTGTACGACCCGCCATAGGCTGACTAGCGGACTTGCGTGCCTATTGTCGAGACTATTCTGCGGTGTAATTTTCCGTCCCTCTGGGACTCCCATTGGTTCGCGCTTTTTCGAGTTTCAGACTGTAATAGTAGTTCCCTATACCACAGGAGATTTTCCACGATGCCAGGTTCATACCTAGTCTATGCCAATAAGGTTGTTCAGCCTAATGCCCTTACTGCCTTGTTTGCTTTAGGGTGAGTAACTCCGTGCAGCACTGCCTCATCTACCGCGTCAACGGCAAATACGGTTTCCACGAGTCTGCTGCCACCTTTCCCTCCTTAGAAGCGCTGGTCACCTTCTACCATTTCACCAATCTCGTTAGATACAATCGCCTTTTAAATACTACTCTCTCCTACCCGGCTCTTTGTGAGACGGTCCCCTGATATTGCGCCAACCCTTGCCAGCTAGAATGTGCCAATGACTTCGCCCGCCCGCCCTCCTGGCCTTTGTCTTTGGTCTTCTATCGGATATACACAACCTGCCTCCGACAGAGTCAAGACCGCGAGTCTCCCTCTACCCCATTGACTTCCTTTTCCCGCCAACGCCAGCGTCCCTCTGCCCATCGTCTTTCCCCTTTTCTCCTCCCTTCCAAAGTGCGCCATTCAGTAAGGAGGAGAATAATTAAACAAAATATCAGGCCAAACATTTTCGACCCTAAGCTCTATCATGTTTCCGACGGCATTGCACAATGTAAACCCTAAAACGTTGACGATAAATTCTAACCTTTTAAAATATTCTTTGTGGATGTCAGGTTTGCTACCTAATTCTCCCCTGTCGCATCGGACCTGCACTTTCCTTCCATATTTTCTGTCTGTGTAGGTCTGTTCGCGGTTTTACAGTGGGCCTGGTTTCTAACCGATGCGGGGCTTTGGTTAACTGATTCACAACCGAAACGTCAACCACAAAAGGTGCAGGCGGTGATGTTAAATCTTCAACCTCTATAAGGCGATTTAACAGGGATTATCGCAATTTATTTGAGTACGCGCACGCAATTAAGGATTTTTGTGTGGTAACTACAAGGTAGAATCCTATTTTGGGCCCTAGATCAGCATGCGAAAGCCTCCATCCTTCTGTAATACAGAACCGGGTGAAATAGTGTGCAGCCTGGGCAATACAAAGGGAGGGAAATATAAATTTTAAAAAAAAGTTTATAAAAGTATAAAAAGCAGGAATCATTATTTAAATACCCTTATTTTTGTCAACTACAATGTGCGCCATAATAAAAAAGTGCAAATATGCAAATATTGGGAAATACCTAACTTAAAAAATATCTAACCTTAACTAAAATCAATTGACTAAAAACGTAAAATAAGGCAAGCTAACCTAACTTTACTTAAATATACTCTAAAAATAAAAATAGTAAACATAATAATAAACTGAAAACTGAACGTAAATATAAGTAGGGTATCGACCTTCTGTGTATGTCTGTGCCCTATTAACGTTACTTGCTTATAATTTGGTCACTTCTCGGCTAAGTGTGGAACTATCTCTCCACGACAACGTTAGATTGCCTGGATAATTTGGTTTTCTAGGCCTGTTTCGGGGTTTGGAGCCTCACCTCTGAGGCGCTTGGAAGCTATTGAAAAGGGGGCGGGCGGGGGAAGGTAGGAAGGTTATTAAGGACTGTCGCCGTTACTACGTGTACCAGTGTCGACTTGGATTCGGGCGCTGTTGTCGTTAACCGAATCTAACTTTACACGAATTCTGAGCACGCTAGCTTCGCACCGTCGGGACCGCCTCGAGATCCTACG